CATAATATATATAAGTACATACATAAAAGGGTGCATGTGTAAAACATTTAAAATAATAATTACCTTTTTGATTTATCTAATTATAAATTGAAAATGGACTAGTTGGAGTGTACTTGAGTTTCTTCTTAAAATTCTTCTCTGTTCAACTTTTATGAGGGTGAAGAATGAGAGATGGAGAATAAAAATTATATATGAGTATTATATATAGATTTTCTTTTGTGTGATTGCAAGCCTACCTATATTACTAACATGAAATAATGTACATTTTTTGAAAAAAGTATCATGGAATAAATAAAGCTTCAGTATCACAGAATAAATGAATAATACATAAATCATGGAATAAATAAAGCTTGATCAGTATTATAGAACAAATGTATAATACATAAATATGTCTTGTAGTTTGACCTTGACTAACATCTATACCCCTTCTAACTTTGAGTGTACACAGATAAACACTTAAACTTGTACAAAGTTGAACAAACACATGCATAGATTCTCCGTGACATCCTATATGTGTTTTGCCACATAAAACGTGTGTATGTGGCATAAAGTTAGATGTCTATTGAGGCCAACAAAAAGGCATATATGCCTAGAATAAATAAAGCTTCAGTATCATAGAATAAATTATTTTTTCTATCTTATCACATAGGATAGGCCAAGAGTCATCCAAAGTTATAGTAGAAAAGGAGTCATTAATGACAACTTTAATTTGGAGTTCCATATACAATGCTTTATCATCTGATAATAATACAATTTATTCTTCTCCCTGTACTTACAAGCAGCCCAAGATTTTTACATGAGGTCCCTTAAACCCTTTTTGTGGAGGGTATTTTTGCAAGTTTAAGTGCATACTTGTGCAGACTCAAAGTTGGAGGGCATAATTGTCTGCTAAAGTCAAATTAAGAGTCATGTTTATGTATTATGCCAATTAAATATATGTATGAAATAATGGAGGATTTGTTGGGGATATGAAGTATGAATGGGAAATAAGGAAAGTGTCATTTTAAAATAAAACATTAAGTGTAGTGTGATTTTCTTCGTTTGTTGAGTTTGCTAGGGTTTTGTAATTTGCATTGCCGCTATTACACAAATGTTATTCCATTCTATCCTCGGAGGAAGTAACCCAAAACCATGGCAACAGTGGGGGTTATAATTTCTTAAAGACACACAAACAACTTATGGGCTCGAAATAATATTCTACTTCTTCTACAAACTTTTCTACATTCTTCTTTGTGATAGAAATAACTAGAGATAATGACCCCTTGCCCAATTTTATCAAAGATGTTAGCTACTTCATTGTCCTCTCCTAATTGATTGCTTATGATTCCCTTTCGACGAAGCACATTCACATATTTGTCTGAGTCGATAAGATAATCCATGAACACAACAAATCATTGAAATGTTTACGAAGTACATCATATGTCTGTTGCTTATAGGCTATGAGATTTCTCAGAAGGGTATCTGTTACATCATCAACTTCAAAACAAGGAATTTGCCTCCCTCCATTATCAAATTTGATATCAAATAAAGTTGTACTAGTTGAAGCCAGTGGCGGATCTAAGATTTTAAGGTTGTGGATGCTCTGAAAGTGGAGGAGTCAGAAATATAAAAAATGACATGTTAAAAGTAAGATTCAAACTCAGGCTCAACAACACTAAAAGAACCTTAAGCACCCATCCAAGAGCCAATGGGCTAGACAGATCATTCGTTCACTGCGTGCTCTATGTTAATTTTATACAAATATCTCTTAATTTCTCTCTCTCTCTCTCTCTCTCTATATATATATATATTTCGAGACGAGGTTAATGGATGCTAGAGCACCCGAATGACTCTATGTGGGTCCGCCCCTGGTTGAAGCAAATGTTTGATGTATTTTACATCACCTTTCCTCTCAAGATAGGATGCATGGGCCATCATCAATTTCCTTTGTCATATCATGAATCTTGGTGAGCACAAAGAAAGGAAGTTGGTTTTCTAGTAACAACAAATCTCGACGTGCAATGTTTATTATACAATTCGCTATTAGGCGTCATTCCACTACATTATCGAATAAACTCAACTATGAAACATCAGTAAAAGTATTTCTGAAAATTTGCAAACAATATTATTTTTCAAGTTCTCTATAATGAGGAAACACTCACTTAGTCAATAGTTGTGTTACATAGTTACAACAAAGATTACTTCATAACGTCACCAGTAAAAGCCAGAACAGTCTGTATAACAGTGAGTACAAGAAGAGTTATAGCTGCCACAGTTGAAGCTCCTACCCAAGGACTCGAGAAATAGTTGTGCCTTAAACTAGCTTTCATTTGACTCCATGGCTTATCACAATGTTGAATCAATTTGCTGCATTCTTTTATGTAATAAAAGCTTGTGATTTCCACCCCATCTGAAAGTTTCTTGAAAATGCTGGCCACTTGTTTGTCATCCCCTATGTCCTTAAGGATGATTTTCTCTTTGCGAAGAAACTTCACATCTCTGTGTGAGCCAATAAGTTGAGTCATTATATGCGCGTAGTTTGAAAAATAAGGATATACATCTACTTTAGAGGAATGTTGCTCATAAGCTATCAAATTTCTCATGAAGGTTTCCATAGTATCCTCGATTGCAAAACAAGGTATTTTCATTAATCCCTTCTCAAACTTGATATCGAATAATGTTGTTTTATCCTCCTTCTTTTCTTGCACATATCCTACTCTTATGAATCTAACTCCAGCATCGTAAAGCTCTGTTACACTTGGAATATGATAGCAATCCCATAAACCAAGAACTTTGGGAGTTTCTTTTGACTTGGTTAATTGCAAAACGTTGTCACAAAATGTTATCTTGCAACATTCTTTTGGTGTGCTAGCATTTTTGTTCTGTTTATCTTTCATACCATCATGATGATCTGATGGTCGACAAAACATGTGTATTACATGAACTAAATGATTGAATCGTTCTGTATTAAAATTGTGAATCTCTGATGGGGGTATGAATTTCGCCTTTGGGAAAGTATCAAGTAAGGTTTTTCTCACCATATACAAGAAGCTCACTTCTTTATGATGCTTTGTCATGTCATGAAGCATGGTAAGTACAAAGAAAGGGAGTTGATTTTCTAGTAACACCATGTCTCGACATACTTGTTTCTTCATCCATTCCAAGTTGATGATGTTGTCGTTGTCTTCTTCTTCTTCTTGATCTTCTTCTTCTTTTTCCTCGGTTGCATAGTACTCTCGAATAAATTCAACCACAAAACAACCATCAAGCAACAACATTTCTAAAAAATTGTCAACAATATCATTGTCAAGGTTATCATCATAACATTTTAGTGCTTCATCTTTCTTTTTCTCCAATGCACTAATGCAACTTTCAACATCAACCCCTCTTTTCGTTGGAGAAATCGTTGTAGGTACAACAATTTGTACTTCTCCATCGAACTAAGTTCATGATTCCTTTTATGGTAAGGACCAATGGAGATCAACATTGGCGTATAAGCATCTGAATTTGATTTTCGTAATCCCATATTTACTCTGAATATGGTTGCAGATTTGATACATGTATTGTCCAAATACTTAAATTTTTCATCAAAGATTTGATTTGCGGATTTCATTGTTTGTAACACTAATTGATCTTGACCATTTGTTTCCTTAATCTCGATCAAATGATCCACTTTCCTCCCCTTGTCTATCTGTAATTAGTGTAAAAGAATCATACTTTTTCTCTATTATACATTTTGCTTTTTTAAACATACATAATTAGTGGAGTACTAAACAATAACTCGGACAGATCGAGAATAATCAATGTGGAATGTCACTTGTACGCAACTGCTTTTCTCTACTTTTATTAGCTGAGAAGTTTTTAAAAATGAGAAAACTGACTTTCCTTAAGAAGTAGGAAAATCAAGTTACACAACTGACATTCCACCTTGATAGTGTCCTCCCCACCTTCCAACACCTCATCTTAACCTCCACCACTCCACACCCCGTACCCCCATCTTCACCTCTCATAAGTCATAGTATATATATATTTTTTTATTTTCAAGATAATATTTTTTTGCCCACATATCAAATACAAGAAAATAAGTAATAAGCCTCCATATTTTTCGTCGTACCGAACACACCCTTAGCATAAACAACAAATACAAATAAAATATTCAAATTCCTTAACATACACACAAATTGTTATCATAGAAAGAGATACCTCATCTTTTGTAGCTTCTCTTAGAGAAAGTTGATCTATTGGCACAATCTCAGTATGATGAGCCATAACCCTCTTGAGACTGTAATTCCAATAATTTAAAAAAGAGAGAGATCAAAATGGTTAGTAATGAACTCCGCAACAAATTATTAAAATTCCTAAGTTTTTTTTTCTAAGAAAGGCAGAAATTTACCTCTTTTAATTTGGTTGATTATCACTTTAATTCCTTATTAATTTGTTCCTCTTGCTTGTCTTGAAGGATGAATGTTACAACTTTATATATAAAAGAGGAATGATACTACTAATTATTTACTATAATTAATTAATTAGCACACATTTCAAAAGTATTACTAGTAATTTATTATTATAGTAAAAGTAAAATCAAAAGTAATCAAGAAAAAGAGAGCTAAGCGAGGCTACAATATTCATAATTCATGTGTATGAGTCAGTGACTGTCACTTTTGAGCAATTGCTCTTAATTAAGATACAATTTTAAACATATAAAATATTATTATAGAAAAAAAACATAGATAATAATTTATAATAATACATAAAAAGGGAAACGTGCGTTGTGAAACTTGTGCTATGCATGTGCACAACATACAAAAGAATTTGTTTGGGGCACTATTTCTTTTTTAATATATAGTTTTTGGGTGCCTTGGTCCTGAAGTAATTGCATGTGCATGTGACATAAAAAATCTTAAATAAATTTAATTTTCTACCTTAACTTTGAATTATTGTTTTTAGAAATAATTAGCTCAACTATTATTACGAGTCTCAATTCGGTTAAAAAATTTGATTATTAGACGGAATATATTAATTCAAGCTGGACATATTATTGGAGGGATAATTTCTCATATGATACTCATTCAATCAATAGTTATAATTTTAGAAAGTCATTTTTTATTTATTTTAATTTTTTCAACAAAGAAAGTAATTTTACAAGATATTAATTATGGACCTTTTTGGATTGATTTAGGTTTTTTTTTTTCTGGCCTTATTGCTCTTGGAAGTGTCCATAGAGTTAATTTTATTTACACATTGTGGACATGTTGCTCAGATTGCAAACACAACTGCAGCCAATGTAACATATGACTTTCGTGTCACTATAACAAAAAAGACTTTTACTGCATAAATAAAGCGTGCGAAAGTCTTTACTTAATTGTCATTAGATCCAATATCGTTATAGACTTTAGTAACATTTACAAAGAGTGCTAAAGTGTAATTGTCGCTAGTAATTGCCTCTAATTAAAATAATATATTTAGCAAAAATGAAGCTATTATCAATAATTAATTGTCGCTAAAGATCATCATGCAATATAGAAGTCAAGTGGACAATAGCCTAAGTATGTGTTGAAGCAACCATTTCTTGAATTAATGACAAATTAAACATCATATCATATATTATTATAAGTAGGAAGCTCCTAACCCCAAAGTTGATTTACCGTTTTAACCCTACAATATTACTTAATTATTAATTTATTAAAAATATTAGTTAAATATTAATTTATTAAAAATTAAATTTGCTGTCAGCCCTAATTTAATTCTTCAGAAACGTATAGCTCCTGTTCAACGTCCCTCGCGATCACTGTAACAGTCGTATAGTTACTGCTCAACCTTCCCTTCTGCAACACTCAAGTTCCATTACTTAAATTATCCGTTCTTCCAAAACCTTTTTAGATACTTCACTCATCTGTATAAATGTCTCCAACAACATGTTATTGTCCATTAATTTGTTTCTCTTTTCTGTGCTTGAATCAAATACATCATTATCAGGTAAAAAATTTTTCCTGCTCTGTTTTTGTTGCATAATAGTTACGGTCAACTGTTAACAGAATTGTGATCATGAACGAAGGAGAGGACAATCAAAGAGTCGAGTGCACATTCTGATTGTAAGGATGATAACCCTTAGACTGGTCCAGTTCATGTATTCTTTTCCATCACCATGCTGAGCCATCCCAAGCTCGCACATCATCAATAGTTTCGTGGGCAATGATGCTGCAAATTCTTCTCTGTTGTGTCATTATCTGTGCACTGTTGTTGTTTTGTCGTTTAAGTGAAAGTATGCATAGTGCTCAACTAGAAAGTTTTATCTAGGATGATATGAACAACCTGTGATGGAAAACATATATTGGAGTTTATGCAGTTTTCAGTTCCTTTTTATCTTCTCGACTGTCTTTTTTTTTTTTTACTTTTAATCATAACTTCTGTTAAATGTTGTTTTGTGGTTTTTAAACACTGCAAGTGTTTTACTTTGCTATAGGGGCCAATAGGTGAGGGAGCTTTCTTAAGGTTAATCTACTTTCCTGACCTTGACGCTTTGGTTCTGCTCTGTTTTGATGCTAATCAAAAATATATTTACACCATTAGTTTCCTCGCACATTGCGATCAATTTTACTTGATAGCTTTTAGATGGTCTTATATGAACGCTTTGCTTTTCATATCCTATTCTTATGAATCTAACTCCAGCATCGTAAAGCTCTGTTACACTTGGAATATGATAGCAATCCCATAAACCAAGAACTTTGGGAGTTTCTTTTGACTTGGTTAATTGCAAAACGTTGTCACAAAATGTTATCTTGCAACATTCTTTTGGTGTGCTAGCATTTTTGTTTTGTTTATCTTTCATACCATCATGATGATCTGATGGTCGACAAAACACGTGTATTACATGAACTAAATGATTGAATCGTTCTGTATTAAAATTGTGAATTTCTGATGGGGGTATGAATTTCGCCTTTGGGAAAGTATCAAGTAAGGTTTTTCTCACCATATACAAGAAGCTCACTTCTTTATGATGCTTTGTCATGTCATGAAGAATGGTAAGTACAAAGAAATGGAGTTGATTTTCTAGTAACACCATGTCTCGACACACTTGTTTCTTCATCCATTCCAAGTTGATGATGTTGTCATTGTCTTCTTCTTCTTTTTCCTCGGTTGCAGAGTACTCTCGAGTAAATTCAACCACAAAACAACCATCGAGCAACAATATTTCTAAAAAATTGTCAACAATATCATTGTCAAGGTTATCATCATAACATTTTAGTGCTTCATCTTTCTTTTTCTCCAATGCACTAATGCAACTTTCAACATCAACCCCTCTTTTCGTTGGAGAAATCGTTGTAGGTACAACAATTTGTACTTCTCCATCGAACTAAGTTCATGATTCCTTTTATGGTAAGGACCAATGGAAATCAATATTGGTGTATAAGCATCTGGATTTGATTTTCGTAATTCCATATTTACTCTAAATATGGTCGCGGATTTGATACATGTATTGTCCAAATACTTAAATTTTTCATCAAAGGTTTGATTTGCGGATTTCATAGTTTGTAACACTAATTGATCTTGACCATTTGTTTCCTTAATCTCGATCAAATGATCCACTTTCCTCCCTTTGTCTATCTGTAATTAGTGTAAAAGAATCATAATTTCTCTATTATACATTTTGCATTTTAAACGTACATAATTAGTGGAGTACTAAATAATAACTCAAACAGAATAATCAATGTGGAATGTCACTTGTACACAATTTTCTTTTTCTACTTTTATTAGTTGGGAAGTCCTTAAAAATGAGGAAACTAACTTTCCTTAGGAATTAAGTAGGAAAATCAAGTTACACAACTGACATTCCACCCCCACCTTCCGACACCTCATCTTCACCTCCACCACTCCACACCTCCTTCCCCCATCTTCACCTCTCATAAGTCATAGTATATATATACACCCCCTATCACACCTCCTTCCCCCATCTTCACCTCTCATAAGTCATAGTATATATATACACATATTTTCAAGATAATATTTTTTTGCCCGCATATCAAATACAAGAAAATAAATAATAAGCCTACATATTTTCCGTCGTACCGAACACACCCTAAGCAACAAATACAAATAAAACATTCAAGTTCCTTAACATACACACAAATTGTTACTATAGAAAGAGATACCACATCTTTTGTAGCTTCTCTTAGACAAAGTTGATCTATTGGCACAATCTCAGTATGGTGAGCCATAACCTTCTCGAGACTGTAATTCCAATAATTCAAAAAAAAAAAACAAAGAAGATAAAAATAGGTTAGTAATGAACTCCACAACAAATTATTAAAATTCCTAAGTTTTTTCTTCTAAGTAAGGCAGAAATTTACCTCTTTTAATTTGGCTGATTATCACTTTAATTCCTTATAAATTTATTCCTCTTGCTTGTCTTGAAGGACGAGTGTTACAACTTATATATAAAAGAGGAATGGTACTACTAATTTACTTACTACTCCCTCCGTCCACTATTAATTGTCATACTTTCCATTTTTAGAGTCAAACTTTAAAAATTTTGACTAACATTTTAGGATATATTTAATCATCATATTGATATGTAAAAAATTGCAATGTATAGTGCTTTTCGCATAGTTTCAATATCTAATTTTTTTGTTTCAAAGATCGAATTAATGTAATCTAATATAACTTTGAAAATAAGTCAAATTGACTTTCGAAAAGCGCAACATGACAAATAAAAGTGGACAGAGGGAGTATAATTAATTAGCTCACATTTTCAAAAGTATTAGCAATTTATTACTATTATAGTAAAAGTAAAATTAAAAGTACAAGAAAAAGAGAGCTAAAGCCAGCTACAATATTCATAATTCATGTGTATAAGTCAGTGATTGTCACTTTTGAGATACAATTTTAAGCATAGAAAATATTATCATGGAAAAAAACATTGATTATAACTTATAAGGTTTATAATTGTAACATCCGACAATTTGAAATAGCTAAGAAG